CTAATCGAACACTGAGCTAACAAAAACCTTAACTTTCCAAATGAGTTTCTGCTGTCTGCCTGATAATTCTCATTTGACCAGAAGAATATCAGCTTCTCTTAAGAGCTTCTTAGTATTTTTTTACTATTGTACTAAACTAAGATATTATACTTTAGTTCTGATCTATATGTTTTACATTTACTGTACAACATATACTCTAAAATTTTCAGACACTTTTATGAATTTATTTAGTTTCAAATTTTTTTGACTATGATATATTTCTTTCCTTTATGGGTGGTCAAATGGTAAAATTCTTGATTGTATTCTGCATTTTTTTTTCTCCTTCATTTAAATACTTTTTGAGACAATTAATGATAATTCACTGAATATTAGTGTTTAAAAGAGAAACAAATTGTGTTAAATGTAAAGTTAATTTTGAAACTGAACGCATGTCTGAACTTGTACGTCATGTAACTATTTCGAGCTGTGAGATACACTACGTGTTTAAAAGAGCTGCTGTAAAATTGTGGTTTGCATTTGAGCTGGACGTTTTGAAAAAATTATCACTCGCATCTATACATTTATGAATAATGTAATAACCAACCTACAGACAACACCACATGAGTAAACAAAAGCAAAACCTTTTTTCACAGTCTTAATTTTGTGATATTGTTGCTCTATAAACTACCTCCTGTCTTCCTGTTTTTTCTTACAAAAGCATATGTTGCTCCTCCTGCATCCACTGTGCAGGCCTCTAAAAAAACACAAATAAAAGAAGAGAAACATGTCAAACAGGCACAGATAGTTTCTCAGTTTAAGCCAGTTAGCTTATAGAGTTCACTTTTGTTTAAAATCTTTGGGTGATAAATTTTAAAATGCATCTGCCTGACAGACAATAATTTTGCAGATTTTATGCTACTACTACTACTGATAATTTCCATTACCTCTCTTCCAGTAACCTTTTCCAAAGTGATGCAGTCCCACTGTCACCAACAGAGCACTGACTAAAATGGTTGCAATGATCCAAGGTGTGGCAGCAGAGGAGGAAAGAGTCATGTCTGGTTTGAAAGCACAGAAGTGTTTAAATGAGACAAGAATGGTAAATCATCAAAGGTTAATTTATAGCTTCTTCGTATTGACATTTAAAAATCTTACTAATCAACTTAAAAGCTTCTAAAACGTGATGGAAATGTTGGCACACCTGTTTTAGTTGTTTAAATCTGCAACTTAGGTTTGAACACTAGAAACTTCTCAGTATTTCACAAATGCTAATACAAAGAGATTTAACAGCTTTGCATAAAGAGCATCAGCTGTCATTCAGATCACCTTATTTTAAAACATCTCAGTGTCTTACCTGTGACTTTCAGCCAGCTTTCTGGTGATTCTCCAGCTCCTGAGATGCTACACTTGTAAAGTCCTTCATCTGACTTTGAAACTCTCTGGATGGTCATGTTTCCTGTGGAGCTTTGATAGATCAGACGTCCATCTTTGTAGAAATCAGCTGTTAAGCTGGAGGGTGTAATTTTGTTCCTGCAGCTCAGAGTCACAGTTTCTTCCATTAACACAGGAACAGCAGGACTCTCCAGGATCACAGGACCAGCTAAATGAGATGCATTTGATAGTTATATATTACATACAATCAGTTTTTTTCAGAAAATAATGTTGTTTTGATGAAAACTGTAGGAATGTTTAGCTTATTTTAGAGTTTAGAAATGTGTTAACATAGAATGTAGAATTATTGTAGAGAC